AAGGGCCCTTGTATTTTCCCACTGTGAAAGGTCTCAGGAGCCAGGGTTGCAAGGGTCACTTTTGCCCCCCTCTTTTGATTGGGAAAAGTTAGAGAGGAAGCCACTATAGTCTGTCTGTCATATGGGGGTATATAATATTTATGTGGGTGTGTGTATACACACACCATATATACTATCAATTATTAGGGGTGTGCAAAGCGGGCCATATTTGATATGGATTTGGATTCGGCCCAAATCAGGGACAGTGATTAAATTTGTTGATTTGGATCACTGTCCCTGATTCAATTCAGCTGAATCTGGATCTGAAGATTCGATGCTGATTTGCAGAATCAGTGATTCAGACATAGACATGGCTTTAAATGTTTTTCTATGTACCTCAAAGTACCAGCGTGGCTTGCGAATGCTGTGATGCTGGGGTGCATGGAGTGTCCCACAGGAGTGAGGGGGGGGGGCACTTCTGGGTTTGCCAGGGGGCCCCCCTGCACTCCCTAGGCTCGGTGATTGGCTGCGGGTGGACCCCAGGTGCCCCCCTCAGACCCAGGAGGCTCCAGTTACTGAGCCAGGGGCAGATGCAGGGTGGTCCCCCGCGCGCTCCCCGGTGGACCCAGAAATGGACCAGAAGTGCTTCTGCTCCAGTTCTGGGTCTGCTGCCAAGCACACTGGGGACCCCACACTCCTGTGGGATGCTGTATCTGCCCCAGCATCTCACCATTCACGAGCCGCCTGGTACCTTGAGGTATGTGGAAAAAACATTTAAAGCTGTGTCTATGTCCAAATTGTTGAATCTTTCTGAATCTCTCCGAATCGATTCAGAGGGTTTTAAGGGTCCTCTGATTCAATTCAGATTTGGAGATTTGGCCACCGAATCAGGCCGAATCTCTGCCGAATCGAACCAGGGACCAAAGCTTTGCACAGCCCTATAAATTATACTATACTCGCGCGCGCGCACACACACACACAAATAAATAAATATTATATACACACATACATAGATAGATAGATAGATGCGCACACACCACACACTAAGGATAGCTTTATATAAATTATACTATACTCGCGCGCGCGCACACACACACACAAATAAATAAATATTATATACACACATACATAGATAGATAGATAGATGCGCACACACCACACACTAAGGATAGCTTTATA